CCAAAGAGCCCTCTCTTCGCATTAGGTGACCAAAGTATCTGAGCTTGAGCTTCATTATCAAGAATATCTCAATACCTAACACTAATTCTCCACTTAGTCACTCCAATGTCATGCTGTTGTGATCCTACTGTAAAAGAGTTGAGAATTAGGTGTATGGCCATTAAATCAGAAATAAACTGCAGATCACCTTCACCCTTACAGCCATAGCGTCAGGTAAGGACTTGTTTGTTTTTTCCTTGCCTCTCTCCTGCAGATTGAACTTTTAATTTTTGGGCCAATGACCCTTTCTGATTACTCTCTGCTGCAGGAAAAATGCTAGGAAGGAAAAAAAGAATCACACTGTGTTATCCGTATTTCTTCACTAATAATTGACATATATTTTTCTGTATGTGAATTGTTTTTGAGCTACTCACAAGTTTCTCTCACTGCTTAGATCACAGGAAGTAGTTTGGGAGGAAAGCAATGGGTTCTTTCTTATGAAAATAATCCATCCATGTGTCATCCGTGTGAGATTAGTAGTACTAGCAGCTAGCTGTAGGAATTTAAGAAGAGCCCTACTTGTAAAAAGTAAAGACTTATCTGGTCCAACAGCTGGTTTCTCATAATGGCCAGGCAGATGTCTTTGGAAGCCCATAAACAGGAGATAAGTGCAAAGCACCTTCCAGTTGTATTCTTCAGCAACTGACAGTGAAAAGCAACCTGTGTCTGTTATATACATATACATATAGTCAGTGATCTGTTGCCATTGATATCTCATCCTCCATGAATTTGTTTATTTTCTTTTTAAAATGATATTAATGGCAGCACCAGTTCTTGTGTGGTGCTGAGTCTCTTGATTCAGAATATGAATGGACTTGGTATTAGATCACAAGAATACAGTTCAGTGATGTCTTTGAATAACTGAACAGCATTTTCTGTCCAGTTTGTGGGTTTTCTTTAGGTATCTGGTTAGACACTGCGGAAAGAGAATGCTGCACCAATTTTTGCACTGAATAACTGGACATTCCCTTTCCAAATAGCTGAGAACTAGAGTTCTAGAATGAAAACAAGGCTAGTAACATCAAAGTAATAGCATATCTTTTGTTGTCATACCACCCTCCCTAATTTGATTTAAAACCCTTGAAACTGACACTGAGAACAGTTTTGCAGGTTAACGAAAACTAGATAATGAGATCATCCAAAAACAAAAACAGAATGATACGTCAATTAATCAGGAATGACATGAGGCAACTCGCCCTCTCAAAGACCATATCTTTCCAGGAGGTACTGAAAAGACAAACAATTGCAGTTACTGAAGTAATTTGTGCATTGTAAATATTAAGCATCCATTCTTTTCTACCCTTGAACAGTCTCTTCTTCCAACAACAATCTGGATCTTTGCAAAAAGTATTATCTACAGATAAAATCAGAAGCTGATTTGTAATTAAAAAATTAGCATAAAAGGAACTTTAGCATAAAGGGAACAGCTTAGACATTTTAATTATTGTGAACTACAATCCAATAGAAAACAACTGTAAAGGGGTTTAAGAATAGTGCAAGATATTTAGTGTGCTTTCTGGTTTATGATTACAGTATATTGAATATTGGGCCATAATTCTCCTTAATTTTCCGAAGCAGTTTAAAAAGCTAAGTGAATGCACGGTGTTTTGAATGAAGAACTTGCATTAGGGGCAAACGTTTTAAAGAACACATCAATAGGTGTCCTGTAATGACCTCTTCTGCCTACAGATACTCGATGTTGGGGATCTTGTGGTCATGCCCGGGATAATAGACCCCCATGTACATATCTGTGAGCCTGGATGCCCAGCAAGTGAGGGATTTACACATGTGACTAAGGCTGCAGCTGCAGGAGGCATCACCACCATTGTTGACATGCCACTGTATGGTACCAGAGAGCTGGAAGAATGGAATAAAGATTTTTCCTCTTCTAATTTGGAATGCAAATCAATGTTGTTGTTGCATTGCTTAAAAAGCACAGTGTATATGAGAGTGATTCTGAATGTGGCGCTGTGTGTGTGTATATACACCTTCAAAGTCAGTTTTGACTCCTGGCAACTGCCTGGAGTAGCCTCTGCAGTTTTCTTGGCAAGGTTTTTCAGAAGTGGTTTGCTAGGGCTGGGAGAGAGTGATTGGCCCAAGGTCACCAGCTGGCTTTGGCCTAAGGCAGGACTAGAATTCAGAGTTTCTGGTTTCTAGCCTGGTGCCTTAATCACCATATCAAACTGGTATGTATGTATGTGTATATGCCGGTGTGTGTGTGTGTGTGTGTGTGTACTTACATATACATGCAGCGTCTCCCATTTTTTGTTCTACTATAGTTGATGTTATGCACTTATTTAAGGTGCGTTTTTTTCCCTGAGAATCTCCTAATGCAAGCACAGGAGAGATTTCTGGGAAGGTGAATTTCAGAAAGGAAGAATCTTTCCAGCATGAGCAGCACGCTTGTGCTCATAGTGGATAGGATACTACCCAGCATCTTCATTGCTTTCTTATTATTAGATGAGCTTTCTGCAGTTTCTATACCCTATAGCTTTTTTTTTTTCTTTTTTGGAATTTGTCACTTAAACTACTCTGGCCAAAAGCCATCTTCTGGCAATGCAAACATTTTTTGTGCCATAAAATTCCTAAAGTGATCCTGCAGTGCCAACTACTGGACATACGCAGTTGTTGTAGGATAAGAGAATTATGCCTTCACATAATAGAAGGTGCATTTTTACTTTCAATTTCCACATCAGAAGTCAAGAGAAAAAGGTCTTTCTTTTCAGGACTCCAAGTAAGTGGCCCCAAAAAAACTATATTACATCATTTCTCTCTCTCACACACACATGCACATACATTAAAAAAAAAAAGCAAATAGCACTGGCAGCTACTGTGGCATAATCATTATGTAATGCATTTAACAAACTTATGCTGTGCCTTTCCTTTCCTATCCATTCAACTGTACTAGAAAAGGAAAATTCCAAACTAAAATGGAAACTCTTGTGTATAACTCAACATTTAGCTACAAAGCTCATTGGCCAATCAATCACTAGATGTATTTTTTACAAACTAGCCATGACATACAGTAGGATATAAAAGCCGAGCATATTCCCATTAGAATGAGACCATCAGTTCCCCGGGGGAGTTAGTGAATGTAGGCAGAAAAAAGATTCATTTACTCTCACTCAAGTTGAGCACGCCACTAGTGCTGTGTATAGTTCATAATATGGTACCTTACAGACTGGGCTTGAAATTGCTTTCAGGTAACATCTTTCTCTCTTGTAACCCCACCACTAGGCATTGCAATCCTCCAACCACAACCTTATCTGTCCTTGATTCCAAAATCCAGTTTGCCAAGGGCCAATGCCATATTGACGTTGCCTTCTGGGGTGGCATAATTCCTGGAAATCAGGTTTGTACTCAGCAGTGCACATGTATTTCAGTATACACTTTGGAGGGACAGTTGTAAACATACACGCACAAAAGAGGGAGAATTCCAGAAATAAATGTATTCCAATATAATTCTTCCAGAGGTCATGAATGAATACATTCCATTCAATTATTATTGTCACCGCACTGGAAAAAGAGAGGGGGTCACAGGTTGGATCCAAAAATTCTGGTGGCCACATCTGATCCATGGGCTGAAGATTGCCCACCATTGCACTATCCATTTCAAGGGCAATGGAAACAGTGTTCTTTCTTAAATAAAAGGCAATATGTTTGAAGATAAGCCAGAAAAAAAAAAACTCTTTAACTTGAAAATTGTTATTTCCTAATTTCAGATTGGTATGAGTAAAATTGATGGGGTAGAAAAGGAACTTTACATATTCTCAATCACTCAGAAGTAGTTCTTCAATTGACTTGTGTGTAAGCCAAATGCTCTTCTAATGTAATTCTTTTCATAAAATATCATGAGTGCAGATTGGGGAAGAACAGTATATCTTTGCAATTCTCTCCTGATTGCTACACATTTCAGGCACGCATTGCAGTTAGGTTTTTGTTCTGTTTAATTCTCAGTGAAAAGAACTGAAGCTTACTCCCATATCTCATGCCTTTTATGTGGGGATGGGAGAAATATCCCTATTTCTCTCCTATCCTGCTTGGATGTTTGGACAGAATGCTGGAATAAATTGGACAGAATATTACCTGGAATCACCAGGAAGCAAAACGTAAATTAATATAATGATATAGTCAACATATCTCATAATAAAGTCTATACAGTATAACAAGCAAACACTACCTTGGTTCTAATGACCTTTTAGTACCACACTGCAAATAGTACAATAAAGTCTAAAACTGTGTGACAAGATTATTATAAATATTGCTATAATTATTATAAATATTACTATATAAAAAGCAATAGCAGTAAAAGCTAAAAGGCTTAACAAGTACTGTAGAAATAAATCTACAGCAATACAAATGATACTATGTAACAGAATTTTGTGATATTTAAGGAAATAAAATTACATTGTCATCTAGTAAATAGTGCAAATAAAATATGTGGAAATTAAAGTAAGAAAGGAATGATCAGTTGAAAACAGAAGTCCTTTTAGACCTGCAATAAAGAAGAATAAGAGTCATGCTTTCTATGGCAGCCATGCCACAAAGAGAATCCTTTGAAATGGGCCAAATATTAGAGGTCTTCTAAATGTAGGTGTTGAGATTTGATCTAGATGAGGGACTGGTTTGAAATCTGGAAAATATTTATTTATAAATACATCATCAGAGCAAACTGTTACTTCCAATTGACCTTCGACATCTAAAATCCTTTGTTTTAAAGTTAATTTAGTTTGATCTGGTTAAATAGTGTTACCAAAAAAGCCATAGTAATTAATTCAAGTTCCTTAGAGAATGAGATAAATTCCAGACCAAATTTATCAGATGAAAGAGGTCTTAATCCATTTGCAGTTAAGGCTCTGAAACTTAAACAGGGTCCCCAAAGACAGCTTTCTTCGCTGGATTGCCTGGGAACAAAGAAGATAATCTTTGCATGGAGAAAAGAAAAAGGGCTCAATGAACAGGAGAACCATTGATTTGTGGACACATCTGGTATAAGGGCTAAAGCTGGCAAGGTGGGAATCAGAAGTTCCCAGGTTAGAAAGAACTGTATGCAAACATATCTCAGCTGCTTTCCAAGGCCATCAAGACACTGGCCAAGTACAGTATCTGTTACCAGAAGTGTCCAGTAGGAGTGCATAAAAGTCAAGAGGATGGCCATAATCAGGAAATCAAAGTTCTGCCTTTTTTTACATGGATTGATATATGTAAACAGAGATGGGGCTTTGACTGTATGGTTGCAGCAGCTGTCTTGACTTTTTTTGCTTCCACAAATGTTCCTGCTATTAATTTAGAGGGGCAGCAGGAAAAAATCTAGAATTTAAACCCTAGCATTCTGACTTCTTTGCACTGCAATGGGAAATCAACTATTGTGTTTAAGATTTCATCCCTGTGTGCAATGAAGATTCTAATCTAGCTGAGTGGTATATGAGAGTTTTCTCCCAGATCAAGTTAAATGCAGGAGAAGGAGTTAAGTGTCTGGATTCTTATGAATGACTGCCTGACAGCCGAGGTTACCATATCCATTCAAATCTGGCTGGACAATTACTAATTTAAAGGGTAGAAATGAAGATTTATTCTAAATCACTGAATCTGAACTGTTCCAGCTGATTCCAAATATGTATTGGTGTAAGGTGCCCAAATCTCAATTCCAAGTTAAAATATTTGAATTCCTATGTGGCCTATGCTTGGTCAGTAATACGCTGATCTTTCTGAGATGTGGGGCTGATAATTTGGGGTCTTGCCCACTCAAAACCGGATTTGCTTTCAGGGTATCAGGATGTCTATGGACATAGCAAGATAACAGAAGTAAACAAACACTTTAGTTATTTTTCTGCCTCATTCATTTTATTAGCATGCTTTTTATATTGTTATCCTCATCTTATATTTCTGGAGACTCTGAACACTTTTTTTTCTCAACTTGCCTATTTTAGGCTGAACTCCTACCAATGCTGAAGGCTGGTGTGCCTGGATTTCAGTGCTTCTTGATGGCCACTGGTGTGGAAGATTTTTCCCATCTGAGTCTGCATGATTTACATGCAGCAATGAATGAACTACAAGACACAAACTGTATGCTTCTGGTAAGGATCTGGGCTCCTGAAGGGTTCACTGAAATGGTATTCTCTGTTCCAGAAAATTCCAAGGATAGGGCCAAACAATGCTTTTCTTGTGCAAACACATGGGATTTTACACGTAGTCCAGATATTATCTTCCATGTGTTCCATTCTTTATTTGTTCAGTTCTGCTTCTATCTTTATCCTTATTTCAAAAGAAATAGGCTAAGATGGGAAATATTAAATAATAATAATCTGTGTGTGTGTGTGTGTGTGTGTGTGTATGCATGCACGCGCCTTTGAGGCAGTGTTGATTCCTGGCAACTGCTTGGACAGGTCCCTGCAGTTTTCTTGGTAAAATTTCAGAAGTGGTTTGCCATTGCCTCCTTCCTAGGGCTAAGAGAGAGTGACTGGCACAAAGTCACCCAGCTCGCTTTGTGCCTAAGGCAGCATTAGAACTCACCGTCTCCTGGTTTCTAGCCTGGTACCTTAACCATTATGGCAAACTAGCCCTCTAAAATAGTCATACATACAAACAAAAGCTGCTTTGGTCCTTCATTCTTTAATGGATTTTCTGGGAGAAGAAAATCCATTAAACAATGTAGGACAAACGAAGAAAGGCAAGAAAGAAAGAAAGAAAGAAAAGAAAACTTAAAACTTAAACTTAAACTTAAGACATAGAAAACTTAAAACATAGAAAACTTAAAAATACAAGACAACAGAGTGAGTAAATCAGCCAAAAGGAAAGTGATTTTATGAACTCATAATCAGAATAACATTAGCTAAGCCTTATTTCAAACTAGCAGTTTTTTTAAAAAAGGGAAGGCATTGTCACATTGTTACCTTCTGTAAACCTTTTTAAAAACTTGATTTTAAACTTTCTTTTTATTTGTGACTCTTTACCCAGTTTCATGCAGAACAGGAGCCAAGCCAATGGAGGCCTATCCAAGAGGGTATGTACAATATAGTATGTAAGTATAGTTCCTTTTTCCTTTACTCCATCAAATATGTTTGCAAGAAGACTTGGGTGCATTTATTATACCTACCCTCATTTATCCCCTTCATGGATCACTGCCTTGTCGTGGCGAAGGGGCTTGCGTAACTCAGTGAAGCCATGAGCTATACCTTGCAGTGCCACCCAAGACAGACAGGTCATGACAGAAAGTTCTGACAAAAT